CCCTCGAGCCGTTTCCAGCTGTTGCTGGGGCGGGCGGGGAGCCCGTACAGATGTTGGCAGCTCCACCCTGCCCTCAAGGAGTTGCACTTTCAGTAGCCACGTCCCGGTAACGTAGGGTCAGCCGGGCTGCAACCCATGATAATATCTCTGTGGGCCTTGAGAATGTCACTATTTTTTATTCCCCAGCTTGTTTTTTTCCTCTCTGGGCACTACCGACCCGGCTCTGATTTCCTTCTTTAATTAATTGCAGTAGTCTCGTTTCCTGCCCTTCACGTGGTAATGAGCATTTTCTTTATTAGTGCTGTCACTTTTGCAGCGTATCTGCGTGCTGCCTGCACGGCGGCTGGGGCTGCAAGCCGCTGCGCTGGGGTTCGGGAGACGCAGGTCCCGTCCAGGTAAATCCTGCCTGAGCCCGGGAGGTTGTGGCACCCACACGAGAWGCTTTATAATACCTGGGGTTATTTTCCATAATACTAATTGAAATATTGCCATTTAAATGGCATTTCCACGGCAGTACCCYTTGCATGGTGGAAGGAGCAAAGCTGCTGACATGGAGCAGATGGAGAAGCCCACCTGATTGCAGGAGCYGCTGCCCGCTCCCGCACGGCAGCTCCAGCATTTGCTCAATCTGTAGCTGCAGTTCAACTCCACCAGAGAGGCAGTGAGCACAAAGGCAAGGAGGAGACGGGAACTGCCCTGGGACGCCGGGACTGGCCCTTTTGTTTGGGCTGGGAGGGTTTCACCCAGGAAACCAGATCCTAAATCCTTCCTGCTCCCTCTCGCTCTGCAGTTGTTCCTCCTCAGCTCCTTTGTCTGCTTTCCCTAAGGACGCTGGCACCTCTTTGCTCCCTGCCGGGGCGCGTACCSGGTGCTGGCCCCAAAGGCTCAGATCTCGGGCTGGGAGGTGCTTTTGTACCCACCCGAAGGCAAATGACAGCCTGGACCCCCAAACCCCGGAGCTCGCACCTCTGCGCCGAGGCAGCCGCTTCAAAGGGCTCGCTGGGAGCTGGCACTACAAAAGCGACTGCTCGGCAATTAAAGTCTCTAAATCCTGACTGAAGCTGATTAATTTACACCAAGTTAATTACTAGGGCCCTTTTCAAAGGTCTGATCCAAGTCGTTCCATTACAGGATGTGATTTTCAGGGAGAATCAGATCCTTTGCCTAAATGGAGCTGTTTTGCAAGGATAATCTTGTCGCATCTTTCATCTGGGAATTTGTGAGCAACTTGAAGGTCTTTAACACCATTAATGAATGAACAGCATTAATGAATAAACACCTAAATATGAATAGAGCAGGCTCACTGCCAAGTAAGCGTGGACTAAATGCATTTACCTGAGCTCCACTTGCACGCGTGCACTTTGGAATAGCTGGCCATAGTTCCACTGAATTTGGCGTAGATTCATATCCTTCCCTCTGCTGCATTTTCACCATTATCTCATTTGGCTGGGGGAAACTGAGGCACGTAGTGGCTAAGTGGTCTGCCGGAGYGACCGAGCAAGGCAGCAAAAAGCTAAGACAAGAATCCCGGTGCTTTTGATGCCAAATTCCTGCCTCTTTACAATAGAAACCTCTTCTTTCCTCTGTGAACTTCTATTATACATTTCTATTGTATGCTCTATTGACTGGGGAAGAGGGATAATGCTCCTCGTTTTCTTCTTTGGGAGACTTGCTAAGATACTTTAAAATATACCMGATAATTAGGAAACTGCTGCGCCGAGCAGAGCTAAGGCTCCTTCACAGCGTCTCGTCTCCCAGAGAAGCCCATTAGGTGACTCAGAGGAAGGCAGCAAGCAGACGAGGGATAATTTACCTCCCACAAGATCCCTTGCTGCTCTCCCATCTCCTTTCAGACTTCTTATAATACGAGATAGTCTTGATATCCAGAGACTGTCCGAGCCTTTCTTTCCCCTTGGCTCGTAATCCTCCGCAGGAATCGCGGGCGGTTGGCAKCGCGGGCGCCCGAGGAAGCGGCGGGAGCCAGCGCCGGTTGCTGCCTGCCTGGCTCCCAAGGGTCGCGCCGGGGCGGCTGCGCTGAGAGCCACGAGCTGGGAGAGCTGGGGCGAGTGGAGAACATTGCCCTGCGCTGCGCTCCTGTCTCTAGGAAACCTTTCAAACGCTCCCAGACCCAGCAGTTCACTAAGAAGCCTCGGATCTCGTTCCTCTCCCTGCAGTTGCCRGCAAAGAGGGGTTAGAATCTGCTCCTGCCGCCACAGAGCTGGTCCCGTTGTTCCGAGGGCGGCCCTCGGGCATTCGGCRGTGCCTGGTGCAGTGGCACCGTCCCTTCCTGCTGATCCCGCGGGTGCAGAGGGCACCCACTGATTCCCTCCGTGACCAAACAGCCGCGGCTTGAACCAGGCAACCAGGAGCGAAGAGCAGAGCTGAGAGCAGAGCTGAGAGCAGAGCTGAGAGCAGAGCTGCCCTCCGCCCGGGAGCGGGACCACGGGAACGGGGCTCTGTCCAGCGCAGCGAGTGGAGCGCTGATGCCCCTCAGCAGAGCCGACACCGAGGCCTTGGGAAACGTCTTTCCCAAGCAGATGCTGCAGGAGAATCAGGTTTTGTCCCCTTTGACATCCCAGAGATGCTTGGGTTAGAAAACCAGGACTGGGCATTACATTGACCACCAGGTAATACTAGTAAATCTAACCAGAATCATCCTCTGTGCAATCTTCATCGTGGACACAGGAAGGGAGGCAGCAGGTTTCCAAAAGTGCTCCGTTGTCGCTGAAAATAATGCAGACCCTGCTTGGGACCAAGCGGATCCGCTGGCCGCCGGGCGCCCTCCAGGAGGCAGCCCTTGTTCCAGCTCTGGTTCGTCCTGCCTGCCGCCTCCTCGGGCTCTCTTGGGCTTTCTGAGGCCACGTGCAGCTCCCCACTTGTCTGCCCTTCACAGGGCTGTGAAGTCAGTGTTTCTTGCCGGTCTGACGTTCGCCTTTTGTGAAGGCAAGAAGTGCCTGGAGCTCTGCTGGGAGGAGAAGCAAGTCGCTCTGCTTTCCGTGGCTGTGAGGCACCGGCTCCTTGGCGGGATCGCGGGGTCGCAGAGCAGGATCGCTGCTTTTCCCCTCCCCAGGGTCACGGTAACGAGCCCAGGTTGGCTCCAACTGGACCCAGTGCAAACCACAGGCAGAGTTAAAACCAAGGCAGAGACTCCAGAGATCTCCATTGAAAACCAGCTGGAGAGCAAAGGCAGGGCCATGCGGGCAGGCAGCAGCGGGCGCAGCGCCGCCCGGCACACTGACCCGCTGGCGCTCCCCCGGGGCTCGTGTTCCTGCCTTCCACCCTCATTCACACGTGGAAAAGACCCTTCCTTCCCAGAGAGGTGACATCCTCCGGCACTGCTGGATTAGCCCTGCAGCGTGCCGGCCGCAGCCATCCATCTGGCTGTGCGTAACGTTGTGCATGACCAGAAGAGCTGCAGCGGCTCCAGCACCTCCAGCCTCTCCTGGAGCTGCTGGGCCAGCATCTTTCTGCTCCTCACAATGGGCTTGGGCTCAAACACATTGGGAAGGAGGAGACATTTTAATGGCAATGACAGTTCCAGCAGGCCTGGCCGTGCCCAGGTTCCCAAGCGGAGCCGGTAGCCCCAGCTCCGCTGACGGGCAGTTCTGCAGCTGGGCATTATCAGCGCTGGATGGGATGGGAACACCGGCTTCTCCCTCCGTGCCTCCTCCAGCTTGCAAAATACTGGCAGCAGCGAGGAGCTGTGCAGCGCAGACCAGATATCTACGTTAACTCTTGTGCCCGCGGCCGCTTCCCCTGCTCTCGGCTCTTCCAGCCCTGGCGGAATGCAGGCACTAGCACTTGTTTTGGGGACACGGTCTGCTTGCTGCCCTTAAAACAAAAGCGCTACCAAAATAACGTCAGAAGCAGCCAGGCCTGATTGCAGGAGCCTGTTTGTTTGTCAGTTCGCAGCGGGAAGGAAACCCGTGTTTTAATYGCTGCAGGCTGTGTCCTGCCTGGAGCCTCGCGCTGCTCCTGCCCAGCTCTTCTGCCTAAGTGAGAAGGAYGGTAATTCTGGCTCAAGTGCAGCCTGAGCTGGGGTCGAGGGGAGGGAAACCACTACGGTCTCAGTTTATGATGGCTTAGGATGGGATAAACATCTTCTTGCTGTGATGCTGCGGGAGGGAAGGGGGCACGGGCAGCAGCAGTAGCTCCTAGGCTGTAAGGTCCACATCAAGTGCAAAGCAGAAGCTGGAGGAAGCGGTAATTCCRCTTCCAGAAGCTGGAGGGAATGGGAATAACTAGAAACGTACTGCTGGAAAGAGCCCTCCGAATCGCCYCTTGCCCTGGGGATGCTGCTTGCCCAGCTTTGTGCAGAATATATCTCATTAGTATGTTGTTAGGGGCAGTAATTACTGATGACACGAATGCAGAAGCAAACACGGATAATATAGAACTACCAGGACTGCTGGGGCATTGATCAGATAAAATTCAGACGCCCGTTTTCCCCTGCGAAGGGAAGGGCAGACGCGGCAGCACCAGTAGGCTCCCAGCCTTGCACTTTCCGCCTGTATATCCCGCAATTTCCCTGCTCCAGCTCTGAGCCGCGGCAAATCCCCCCTCTGCCCTCCCTGCCGAGAAGCCTTGAGCTGGCGGGGCTGCCAGTTYGCCCTGGCAAGCAGGTACCAGGCGCTGGCGTGGCCACATCAAATGCAAAGCGTCATGCAGCCCCAAATTCTTAGAAAAACCCCGGCACGCAACCGGGCTGCAGAACGGGGCGCCCGAGATGYGCGCGACAAGAGCAGTTCTGGGCAAGGCACGAGAGGGCTCCAAGGATGGACAAGGGAAGGGTGTTGTAAAAAAGAAGTATTTTATATATGTAAAATTTCAGTGCGTTTTTTTTTTTTTAACAATTTGCATAAATTGGCAACCACAGATAATCCCCTAAAATGAACTAAATATATCTGCACCGGGGGCTTTCCAAGCGCAGTTTGCTTTTTGAAATTTATTGGTTTCAGCTTTGCATTTTTCTCTACAATCTCTCTTTCTTTCTTTACCAGATGAATTTGCTGGTTTCTGAAACGCCTGATTTGGGAACAAAACTGAACATTCACCTGGGGCTGGCTGCCTATGGTACGAGTTTGAGTCAATGAAAATGTGAGCTAATTTTAGATTTCGTTAGGAAAAGGGAACTAAGGTAGAAAAACAGCTGCTAAAATGACAGAGCAGGACAAAAGTGTTCTCATGCTTTTGAWACAAAATCCAATGAATTTAAATCTGTGTTGGCCCAAGTTATTAGCTGGTGCAAAGTGGCCAGGCTCCTCTGGAGCCAAATGGGGCTCCGGTGCTTAGAACTGAAGGTCCTCCAAAGCCATGGGCACTTTGGGCCATTTTCTTCTAAATGATTTTTCCAAAAGACRTGATGAGTTGCTCGCTAAGTCCTTATGTATAAACATGTCTCTTGCCCCTGTTCACCCCTCTTCCCGGTGGCTTTTTCGTTCCGTCCTGCAGGTTAACTGGACGTGGCCGAGCGCGCTCGGATTCCTGCTCCGATGGTGTCGCGCCGAGCTCCTTAGCTGCAGTCAAAAGGCTGCCCAAGTCGGAGGAAAAGGAATGCAGTGGTTGCCAGTAATAGGAAAACTATTAGGAACGCTATTAGTAATAGGAAAACCGAGTCCAGTGCTACGGTGCCCTCAAGAAACCTGCCTCTGAGTCCATGGAAGCGATTTTCAAAGGAAAGAATGAGTAAGATACAAGGAAAGAGGGAGGCAGCTGTGTGGGGAGATGGTTAAGCACAGGACGGGACCAGGACCTCCCTGACTCCCTGGGAATGACCGAGGGGGTCTGGGAAGGCGCCTTAGCTCCATATGATGGACCCCGAGCTGGGCCACCTCCTCCCAAAGGGCCGGGGACTTGTGGCCTCCACGGGCAGTGACAGCCCCGAGCAGCAGCTCTTAGMCCCGTGTGCCAGAGCCCCTGCCCTGCACCCCTCTGCCCGGGCCAAACTGGATGCGAAATGGAAGAGATTTAACATTTATGAGGTGCTTCGAAACTCTGAAGCAGCAAGGGCGAAATGCTCTTTGCTTTCTCCGACAGGCACAAAATGGTACCTGCTTTCCATTTGGCTTTGGGGATTTCCTAGACCAAATTGCGTAGTTACTTGCTCACTGGATTTCATTTTCGGGTCCTTCGTGTATCTTCAGCCGTTTTATTTTGATGTCATTGATGATGCCGTGGTTGCAATATGACCGAGAAAGAACACGGCTCAGCTCGTGCTAGATCAAAATCGCATAAAACGCAGATATAAAATACATGACATAAGCAAGCAGTATAGAGAAGCTACCGATCCTTGGATGTGCTTGAGGGCCGGGCAGCACGGATGCAGGGACCTCACCTTGCAGAAGAGCTGGAATGACCAGCCCAATAAATGGCTTTTACCTTGATTCCGGAGCCCGAGACCAGCCGAGCAGCAGCTGAGAACCCAGCGTCCACATGAGAACCCAGCCTTTAAAGGCTCCAGCTGCTGCTGGCTCTTTAGTTCATCATCATCATACCAAAAAACTGAGGCACTTTTATGATTCAGCAAAGAATAACATCACTGGTCTGAGATCCTGGAAACCCAGAAACCATCAGGGTTTTTTTTTTTATTTATTTTTACTCTGCAGGAATTTCCTTTTTTTAATATTGCTGCGCTGTCTACTGCCAAAGCCAGGAAGCTGACTATCTGTGGACAGCAGTGACCAAAATTTGGTTTTCCTGGAATTTGCTCTTTCCCTCCACACCCCGCCACAATGGGCTGCTCAGGATGCCTGCACTCTGTAATTTGCCTTTCCAGCCCCGTAACGCGGCCTGCAGAAGCACCAGTTCTGCCAAGTCATCCTCGGGAAGGAAGACCCTTTTGCAACAGGCCTCGCTGTCCCCGCTCCGGATCCCACGGCCGCCACCGTGTCCGGCTGCAGCCGCGTCCCAAGCGCCGCCCCGGGAACCGCCACGAGGACCGAGGGGTCTGGAACAGGCCCTGGAACGGGCCCTTTGGAAATTGCAATTTCAAAAGACACAGACCAGAAACCAAGATCAAGAACCCAGTGCTGTGGTTTTTGCCTGAGTAAAGAAAAGAGCTGCTATTTTTACTGAAAATGTGGGATATGGGGCCCTTTGCTGTGCTGCAGAAAGTGGGGGATGCTGCTCCCAAGGAGGGGCTGGGAGAGYGAGGAAGGGGCGGCCGGCCCGGATGAAGAGCGGCTGCTCCGTCCGCAGGAATCTCTCCCGTAGATTATTCAGTCATTTCTCTCCACACAGTTAGAAACTTGGTCCGGACGTGAAGGAAGGTGACTTGGGAAGTGGATTTGGGGATCCCATCGCACCTGAAAAAAAAATCCATGAGGAAACAGCGTCAAGACGTAGCCGGAACGTGTCCACCCAGGTGATATTCCGGCTGATTAAAGAAAAACCAGGAAAGGGAAGGAGATTTAATGGGCAATGAGCTCTCCACCCTGCAGAGCGTGAAAGCCGTTTGCAGCAGCGCAGACAGGATTGCAGCGCRCACGGCGTTGGGCGCACGGGGCCCGCACGGCGCTTCCGAACCTCGCATCGGATTTTTCCCTTTCCAAAAAGCCCAACACCTGAACACGGAGAACAAAGACTTCAGTCTCAGGTTTTTGTTTGAATATTAACCACGGATGTTTGYTCTCGATTGAAAGACTGTGTTTTTAGGTGAAATACAAAAAAAGTACCAAGTGTGTCAAAACGGCACGTGCAGGGGTGACCCAGGAAGGTTGGGARACGGGGAGCTGGGCATTAGGAGGTACCCTGTCGCATTCAAGGAGGAGAAGTGGAAGAGTAGCTGAATCTGTAAGAGTAGCCCTGAGCAGCTGCACACTATGCGRTTTGCAAGCAGATATTTCTGAAGTAGTGCTAATTATTTGGGGGAAAAAAAAAAAAGGGGGGGAAGGCGGCAATTCCTCAACCTCCTTATCGGCAGAGACAGGGGGTCGCTATCTCCACGGAGCGGTGCCAGCAGCGGCATGGGGGGCACTTGGGGAAGAAAGGAGGCGCAGCGGGACCCGCACAGCACGTGCACGCAGCTGATTGCACCGCAGCCCTGCGGGATGCCGGGCGCTCAAACGTGGAATAAAACAGAGAAGAATAGAACAGAATAAAATGAAGTAGAATAAAATAAAATAATAAAATAAAATATAATATAAAGAACAAAATAGTTAAAATATAATATAAAGAACAAAATAGTTAAAATAAAATATAATATAAAGAACAAAATAGTTAAAATAAAATAAAATAAAATGTAAAAAATAAAGAAAAATAAAGAAAAATAAAATTAAAAAAATAAAATAAAATAAAATAAAATAAAATAAAATAAAATAAAATAAAAT